TCTTGGTTTAAAACGATGTTAGATTCAGGTGGTCTCTAGTCATTGTTTAGGGAAAATCAAATCTCCTCTCCCATATAAATCAGTTAGAGGGGATGAACTGTCAAACTTACGAAGGAAATGGAGTGTAACAAGTTGAAAATTCTGTCTGATATCAGGCCATATTTATTGTGAATAACGTCTGTAAATCTTACTTCAGTCATTTAAAGTATGCATTCATGTTCTATTTCTAAATCTAATCTGAAGTTTAGCTTCACAAGAAATTGCTATTATTATAGGGTCACAACCCAAGAATGTGCAGGACTTGTCCTGTGCTTCAGTGCCTCTCTCATTATTTTCCACTTAGTGTGTTATGCTAATTGCAAGATAGATAAAGCACATTTAGACGTGCTTTTTCTGCTTTTTTGTGCATTCGCATATGTGCTGCAAACCACAGGGAATTAAATAGTGTAAACTAATGTGTCTGGACCATTGGCGCGTTGTCATGTATGTCAACACACTGTCGCTGAAGACCAGAGCCAGCAAAAGAGGCCTTATTACAGACGAGCTTTAAAGCCTCCGCTCTCCCCTCCTCAGGTTCTATCCACCGCACTCTCTGTGTTTTTTCTGTCTGTCCCCCGCTCCAAACAAGTCAAATGTCTGAAGAGATGTATCGAAGTATCCCTGCGCATTCTGTACGATGGATATGTCATATGACATAATGCCTCCGAGCGCCCATCACAGATAAAATGACAGATGCTGTTTTTTGCCTCATGGATCTTTCTTGGCCAAGCTGATTTTGAGATTTTCCTTTTTGCTGTACTCCTCTGTCTGTCTTTGTGACTCTGCTCTCGTGCTCTTTCCTCTGCTCACGTTTTCTTTTTATCCACCATGACCTTACAAAAGTCTACCATTTTGTTTTTTTATTCAATTTCAAACACAATTACAGTGTAATTGCTAGACAAGGAGCGAATAGTCATTGATGTCTCACTTCCCTTTCTAACTGACACTCCACCATCTGCTTTGTTTAGCGGTGGTGTTTACCATGCCCATCCCTCTCCTCCCTCCTTTGCAACATTATTTCCTGTGTGTACTGGTGAGAGGCATTGGTCTCCATAGATACTGACAACAACATACCACTGTTTGGGTTGTTGGCATTCCTTATGACGACAGCATATAAAGACAGAGGGGAGAGGAGAGGCTGTTTTGAGTGAATTCCTCTATAAGCGCTGGACTTTCTGCCTGTATTATTTCAATCACTTACGACTGCCCTTGTCCCCAAAGGGAATAAGGCATTCTGGGATCTGCAGTGCACTACCTGTAGACCATGATCTGTCTGTGCTTTCTGCCTCCCTCCACCCCACCATCACCCACTTTAGCCACTACATCACCCCAGCACTGACTGCCTGCCTGTGGCCAGTGCTGCCCATCCATCTAGGTGGATGGATGGCTTTGATTGGTAAAATCTGTGGCCCTGTCATCAACCTTACTTGTGATTGGCAGTAATTGGCATGGCAGTAGGCAGGCCCATCTTTCACGTGTGGTCAGCTATGATTGACCTGATTAAAGTGGGGTTGCTCCCCAAAGTGAGGGTCTGGTGTGCCCCAGGGTGCTGAGGAGCATGCTGTACCCACTTGCCCCTAGATGTGGTTGAGGTAAGTTGGCAGGAGAAGTGGCCTGGCTAGCCTCAATCGTCATACAGCTTCCAAAAAAGGGACAAAATGTGTTCTAAGGGTAATTTGAGACAAGGCATCATCATACATTGTACACAAACACAAGCATATGAGGGGGTGGGTACTGGAGGGACTTTGGTTTTGTTCTTGTAAATTCATACCCATCATATGTTTGCAATTAAGGCCTGTCTGTACTCTGTGTTTACAGAGTGGTGCAATCAATGTAATTATGAGAGGGTGTTCCTGACTGAAATGTCTGTCTTATTTCTCTGTGCCTGGGTGAAAAGTGGGCATTCGCTGGATTTGTTTCCCAGTGTTTCTCATTTCCAAATGTAAATGCATCTCTTGATTTGTATCAGCCTCTGTATACACTCCCTGTTTTTTTATCGTTCTCCTTTTTCCTGGATCAAATACAAACAACAAGGTCTCCATTTCAGACTGGAACGTCAGCTAAGATCTATGTCAGCAGAGTTGTTTATTTAGAGGAAAAATCTGTTCATAGTCCAGGCAATGTAAAGAGCCATAAAACATACATGAGCGAAAATGTGGCCTTTGGTGAATGTTGCCAATGTTTTGTTTTGAACGTTTAAAGATTTTTTGAACATTTGCCTGCACCTGAAGATCTGGACATTATTAGTGTGTCTTTTGATCTCATCCAGCTCTTCAAGACAGATTATTTTTCTTTATTGGAGGTGTATACTTGCTTAGAGGCCACATTCCTTACTATTGATACTGTCAATGTGTTTGCCATTGAACAAAGGTTACTTTATTTTCTGAATGGAAACCACATATTGCTTGACTCTAAACAGTTTTGTGTTTCACTGTAGAAACTGTTCCAAAGACTTACAGAAAAGAAAGTGAGGGAAAAACTCCTAGTAAAAGAAACAATAAAAAAAGTCATACTGAGTTTGGGGTTTGCGTTGAGGTCACAGCATGGTGGTGCACTGATAGGAGGTGGTATACAGGGCTTTGCAGACCCGTATGTACATGTTGTAGCTGTAGCTGCACTGTCACCAAGGGACAGTGTCAAAAATACGTAGAACAACCAGTAAACTGGGCTACTCTAGGTTAAGTTGGGAGTTTAGCTTAGCTGTAAAAAAAAAAAAAGCCATACAAAAAGCTTGTTTGCAGTGAGGTGAAACCAAAAATAATGAAAACGGTCTATACTTGAGCTATATGCTATCTTTGATGTCTTTTTTCCAATTTTTCTTCTTTGTGGTGGACTTTACTGTCTGTCCCATTCTGTTTAAGCCAACCTTTCAACCAGTTGGCAATCTGTTATGCTTTTGGCCTTTTAAATGAAAAAAACAAACAAACATCCAATGGAAACAGCTACATTACATGCAATGTAGCTGCCGCATTAGTTGAATTCCCACAATCCCTCTCTTTGCATAGCCAAAGTACACAAACAGACACTAATGTGGGATCAAAAATCTATCATTACACACCACGAATTAACTTATCACAATTTGCCATTCAAAAACAAAAGTATTCTCTTCTCCTTTTAGCTGCATGATTCCTACAAAATCACAAATGAGTTTCTAGAATGTAAAATGCGATTGAGTAAATCTGTCGTCAACCTATCAGTTTGCGATTAAATGGGGTCAAGTGGGCAATTGCGTGGTCTCTGTGTGGCCATATGGCAATTAACTGTGATAAATTAATGCAAAATTGCAAACGTCTTTATCTGCTGAATGGCATAGGCACATGGCAAGCTTCTTGTTATATAGAAATATAACAAAAATACAGCCAGCTGGCAACCAGTTGAGTTGAGTCCCCTTTTTGCAAAGAGACACATTGCTGATGAGATGTGCTTATCAGTGCAGACGGAACCAGATTTACTGCAAAATATTTGCAATCTGTTTGCATTTATAAATTAAACGTCAGTTATTTGCAAATCTTTGTCAATCTGTCTGAAAGTAATTGCAGTCTGACTGAGTCGGACTGTAGTAGTTCAGAGACAGGCTGCCTACCCCCAGGTGACCCAT